TCAAGCAATTTATACAGCATTTCCAGGAAATATTTGTTTGATAATTTTAGCAAGAACGAAATGTGTTTGCAGGAATTAATAAAAACTAAAAAAACTTCAACATTGTAACTAGTAATTAGATCGTTACAACATATAATTAGATTGTTGCCAATTTGACCAATTTTTAAATTTTAACATCATCTCTGTCTTTGCCATTTTTCAAGCTCAATTTATCTTTGCAAACAGAAATTCATCCTTTTATACATTAAAAATTCGGAAGAAAAGAAAAATTTGGTAAACTGCAAAATATATGCTAACCAATAGCATACATTTCTTTGAATTCTAAACAATTAATTGAATGTTATTTTTGTGATAGCATTTTGGGATGATGCAACAATCCCTTTATAAATTAGATAACGGCAATGAATTCATGTAAATTAATGACCTCAGCATCCGTGATATTAATCGTTTGTGATGGAAAGAAAGAAAGAGAGGAAAGGAAGGGAAAGCAACAAAAAAGGCTTTTATCATCCAAATGATTCTTTCTTCTTTCTTTTAAAACCTTTCGCTTTGCTTATAGATGCAATGGACGGATACCTTTTAGATGGGAATGATGGACTTTTTTGGTGAAAAAAGAAATTGTGGAGGAGAGGTGAAAAAGCCTAATGGTACTGGAAAAAAACCAAAAGAAAAAGAATTGCAAAGGGGTAATATATATCGCAACAATGATCCATTAAATGATTTTGCGGTATTTATTACCGCCATTCCGTCGCACCATCCATTCCATTTCGTCGATATTCGAACCAAATTCTATACAGTCATTTTCGTTCACTGGAAAAACTATTGCAAAAAAAAGGAAGAAATGGATGTCTGATCTGTTAGCAATGATCTATTGCGGAAATACTACCGGTGAAAAGATGGTAATATCCCCATCCGGAATTTTTGCAAACAGATGAGATTATATTCAACCTGACAGATTAACTGTCTGGGACACTTCAGTCAATTTTAAGAGATTCACATTTTCTTCTATTCAGAAGAAATCACATAAATCTGACTTTCCAGAATTTTCAAGACTGATCCAGCAGTGTGTTAATTATGCAATTCTGTTTGCTACGAAAAGGAAATGGTTATAATTGCATAACAATCGGCAATGCCGATGATTTAATCGTGTTTGAAAATTTTGACAAAACAAAAATATTAAATTAAATAACGGGAAAATTTGAATTTGACTTAAAATATATGGGAGATTGTAATATAAAATTTATTGTTTGCAAAATTTCTACAAAATTTAAAAAGATTATTTGTATTAAATAACTTTTAAAACTTTCATGTTTCATGCGGAAAAAACCACTTCTCTGTATTATTGATTAACTGATCGGATAATTGATCGGATTGAAATGGTTCCTATTTTCACTTTCATTTCTCGTAACATTTGCAGCTCTCATAAATTAAATGGCCTCATTTATAAATGGCCTCTCACGGTGATACTTAGCCTAAATTCCTATTCATTTCTCATTCTCACAATTTATTCAAAAATATGATCTATCCATTTCGTGCTGCTTTCTTCCCAAACCGTAAAGTATATTGAAATATAACATCGGAATGTACAAAGGTCTAAAGTACAACATTTGTCATCAAATAGTTGTTCATACCGCTTCGAAGTAAGAAAAAGGGAAAATAAAATTTAAGAACAGTTTAAAAGTGCTTCCACCACAAGTTGAGAACCGAATTTCATAACTATTACATAATCCGACTGTTGCGAAGTAAAAATAAAATATTAACATATACAGACAGACAAATAGCATTATTAATACGTATTATTTCATTCTAAAATATAGCATCATTTATTAAAATATTAGCCCAAATATACAAATTATGTACTAACAAACTGACTAATTAATTAATCAATTGTGATGGAAAATATTGTTATTTAACGAAGAAATCTTTTTGCTTTTTGATGTTAATGTGCGCAATTTTTAAGAAAATGATTAGCAAAAAATTTACAATTGTCACAAAATGTTAAATACTGACACAATGTCGTCATCCTCATCTACAATAGTTTTATTAAATGGTTGAAAATAAAGGTATGCCAAAAATACAAGTATTACTACCTGGAATAAAATTATCATATCACTTAATGATAATTATTTGTTGTTTCTTACGAAGGAATTTTTTTTCGTTTAATCATCAAATTTTTGAGAATTTTTTTCAAATTATTTCGAAGAAGTGGAAAAAAAATTGACAACTGCCGAATTAGTCGTAATTTATGTTCATTTTCGAAATATGTTCATTTTCAGATTTCAATGATACAATCAAGAGGAAAAATCTTAATTGCTTACTTGGATATTTTGTATCATTTGTTTGTACTTTCTTGAAAAGTTCAAATTTCCATCTGGTACAAAGGCTATAAAATTTATTTTCGAAATGCTTTTTTTTCTTGATGTAAGACTCAAATACTCCTTTCTCTTGCAAAAATGCGCCGCCGCAGTGGAAAACGATTTGGGGATGAAAAACGGTTCCTTCTCAACCATTGCCCGCATTTTATGGCATTTCGTTTGGTCGTTTGTATTTCTTTTTCATTTTCTTTCTTCTTTTTTCAACTATAGTTAAAAAGTGTGTGGAATAAAATGGATGAGAGGAAAATGTTTTTTCTCGTTAGTCTTGCAAAGTTTTCTCGAAAAAAAAGAGGACGAGTTATTTCACGGAAATGAATAGGACAGCAAAGTTTTGAAAGTAATTTAACAATCTGATTAAGTAATGCTTTAGACTGTTCAATTTGGTGTTGCACTGTTTCATTCTGAAAAATATTTTCCATGCAACTGTATGGCAATGAATTTTTTTCCTTTTCCTTTCCTTTCTCCATTTTCATCTTTTATTTCTAACTTATTAGTTTTCATAATTTGTAAAAACTGATAAGTTAGAAAGTTGGGTTAAACAAAGACAAATCCAGTCTCTATCGTCTTTATCATTTTTGTCTCAGATACTGCAAATAAAAAAAAAAAATGTTATTTAGCATTTAGCAATTTCTGCAGGAGTTGCAAGGGATGCAAAATTAATTGATAAAGCGATAAATCCAAGAATGAAAGATTGCGATCACATCGGCTAATGGATCATTTTAGATCTTTTTATCCTCAATTTATTCAATCTTCTTAATTAAAAAATTTGACTAAAATAACTTTTAAAAGTTCAAAAACAATTCTTCGATCTAAAAGTACAAATTGTGCAGAATACAATTTTAGAGAAAAAAAGAATTATTTCAGTCGGTCATCCCAGTCGATCATTTCGTTTTTGAACGAAATAAAAAACTATGCGGATATAAACGCAGTTGTCTTCTATCATTTCTCATTAATTTCAGAAAATTGAGCAAACAGATAAATATAACAAATACAGCAAAATGATATCAAAGAATACTCGAAAAGATTACCATTGTAACAGTAACAAATGCATGCATATATTCGTATACATCGAGAAAAAACCATTTCATAGCCTATTTCTATTAATTAATTTAATTAAATAACTACGTGAATAAGTCAAAAAAAGCCCGCTGAACTTCTGGAAAATTTTATCAAAAAATATTTTTGCATGCTAAAGCAATATATTTTATTAAAGACTAAGTGTATTTTTCATAATTCGCGGAAGTTCCATAAAATTTGATACGCATTCACTGGTAAACATTATCATTGCGCCACTGCAAATAAACAAGACAGGTAATGATATAAGCATTCATTACAGTATCAATCTCCATAAGCATAATGGTGACGTAAATTATCATTTCTCGGCCATGTATTATTTTTATAATAATAATAACGTTTAAAATAGAAAAAATTCAACAGACTGGAATAATCCAATAAAGGTTTGAAATGATTTCTATTCTATTATTGCGAATTATGAATTACTTCTATTGCTATCACATAAAGGCGTTTAAGGATCCGGCCTATATCCGAAATGATAAATGGCTCCCAGCATTGAATGAGGCATAAAATAAACTAAGCAAATGCCTGATCATAAAATGTAGATTTTTTAATAAATGTATTATTCAAAGCCTTTATTATTTAAAATATGAACTATTATCAGTTAAACTTCCAATAAACACGACTTATATTGCCGTATTGCTCTGACATCGAGTGAAAATATAGAAGAAATCTTATATTATTAGCAAATATCGGGAATCCAAAGTTGTATAATCTTAACATAACGTGGATAATCTTAACGTATAATATAACGCTGTATAATCTTAACGTATAATCTTAACATAATATTAATATTTCACATGTCATGCTTATAGAGAAATTATTTGTTTTCCCTATACTTTCAAATGTGTCAATTTTTCTGGAACCATAAATTGTTGATAAATAATCATGATAAAAATATCTCAAATGAATCTATATTTAGCAGTCATATTAGAATTAATTGAATCCATGAATCGATTGCTATAAATAATCAGAACTTGACTTAATAAGACCAGTAAAACGGAAATATGGAAGAAATAGAAGGTTGAAAGATACCGGTTTTCAATTCGGTACGCCTTACTGACAACACAGAAACAAAGTAACGACGAACAGTAAGAATATCTATGGAAATGAACGAAATTATTTATCAACAATTTATGGTTCCAGAAAAATTGCCACATTTGAAAGTATAGGGAAAACAAATAATTTCTCATTATAAGCATGACATGTGAAATATTTCTACCTGCTATCCATTCAAATGATCTCTCCACATCTCTCTCTTTCTCTCTCCCTCTCTCTCTCTCTGGAAACTTTCATAAAGTCAAAAAAAAGCACTGATACACTGATGTTTGTTAATTGCTTAAAATTTTTTATTCTGAATCATAAGAAAAAAAGAATTTTTTAGAATTTAATCGATGAATGAAGCAACAAAGCTGAAAATCTTTCTTTTTTTTTTACTAATTTGTGATCATCCCTTTTATGAAAGAGTATTAGCCAATACTTCTCATTTGGCGGTACTTTTGATTTCATCAATTACAATTTCATGTAACATTCAAGAGACAAGGAAAAGAAATGAATAAGTGAAGAAGTTATTAATTAATCAAATCTTTTCAATGAAAAAGATTTCTTCATTTAAAGTATACAGCTCTTTCTTAGATCCATTATAATCGAATGGCCAAAAATACATTATGAAAAATGTCGTGATGGTGATAGTGGCCTAGTTGGTGTGGAATTAGATTTTGCGCCATTAATACATCGTGCTCGAAATGTCGTCAAATGTCGTACATCGCATCCAACAATGAGAGTACGGTATGATTTTCATCCTCAAAAATTTTTAATTTTATCAATAAAATTACTTGCTATTTTTTATCATATTATGTTAAAAAAAAATATTATCAAATTTACTGAATTTGCATTACGATAATTGTAACATTTCATTCTTCAATAAGTTTTATTTGTACAAAATTTTTGCATGTTTTGCAAAAAAATTGATAATATTTGAGAGTGTAAATTATATGCTGCTAATTTATATATACTTGAGAAATATTCTCAGTGTTTGTGCAATAGCTGAGCCAAATTCGGATAAGTCATATCCACGTGTACTGGAAGCATTTTTTCGTGCTACATTGGTCAAACTATCTAACGATCCAGGCGAACGGTACACCATTTTAGAAAACTTCACAACTTTTTAACAATACTTTAGCATTATAGTAAGGATAGTGTTTTATTATCATGTGAAATTACACACATGAAAAGAAATCAAAGGTAATAAAGCTAACGATTGTGATAAAGTTGTAGACAAACAGCTGGCCGTTTAATTTTAACTCAACGTGAAGGTACGTCAGCGACCAAATATCACGATCAACATGGTGTTGTAGTAAATATGAGTGGAAAATTGTTAATAAATCAAGCATCACCTGAATGCAATACCAGCATTTTATCGGAGCAATATGGTGAAAATGTGAAAAAAACTGATTTCAAATATGAACACGGAACACTCTGTGCGAGATTTCCCGAGCTGGTTTGTAGAGATTGTTGTAGACATTTTGCATCACTTAATACGGTTTACCTCGCAAAAATTCGATCGAATAATATAGAAGTCAGCAAAAATATATTTTTGAAATTTATATTTCCTTAATTTTCGCGTTTCATTTTTCCACTTTTCTTTGTCAATCTTATGAAATTTTTAATTGCTTCGATTTAGATATGACAAAAGTCCCGTATGGCAAAAATTCAATATGATAAAGATTCAGATATTGGTGAAAAATTATTGTAATTCAAATGTAATGCCATATTTTGCAGGGTGTTACGTTAAATTCGATGATTGATCGACGTCAGTTATCGACACGTTATGCAATTCAAATAGATGTTGCGTTAAATATTGAAAATAAATTAATGGTAAAACATGTAAGTTACCACCATAAAAATATATTTTTCCATGCTGATGATGCTTTCATCATTAGCATGGAAAGCTTTCATTATCAGTTGGATGAAAATTAATGAAACACGAAGATATCTTTAGAAACGGATACTTTATGATCGAAATATTACAGGTTGTTTTATCACATGAATTCCTAATTGCAATAACCAATGATCAAACCGAATCGCTGCTAAATTTTATCTATTGGCCGCGGCTGCTTGATCGAGAACAATTTGTTAGGAGATATTCAAACTTTTATTTTTGTGTCAATAAATAAGTACTTATTATAAGCTCTTGTAACAATAATTTTGAAACTTAAAAAGTAAAGATTATTCAAATTTTAAAAAATTACTTATATGATACGATGTGTCCAGTTTTGAAACAATTTGTCCAATAAATTTATTTATAAATAAAGAAAATTTTAAAGTTTTTTTTTTTTTGAATTCAAATTTTAGCAAGATCAACCAAGTGATTACGAAGATACCACACAGAATAGTGATAAGCAAAAAGTTCCTTGGGGTATTTTGAAGAACGCATTGAAATATTTCGTAAAAGCGCAACTGAGCTCAGCACGTGCGCTTGACATTGATGAATTGCTGCACGTGCAATGCATGTTGTTTTATCCGAGGTAAGGGAAAATTTGCTAAAATCTGTTGAAGAATTCACGAATAAAAGAAACTAAGAATTAAATATGCCTATGAACTAACTATTAGAGAGAAGACCATTTCCGGAAATTATAGTTTTTCAGGATCCGGAAGGCTAATAAACAGGAATGTGAACAATTGGAGAAACATTTTTTTGGAAATATCAAAAATAACAATGAAGGAAATTGTATAATTAAAGTTAAACATCGATTATTAACAGAAATGGTAGTTGACAGTGTGTTAGTCACTAAAAATGAATTTATGGTAGTAAGTTTTTAGATTAAATGAAATTTTTAAGCAAAAATTATCACAATTATCCAAGTAAACAATATTTCAAATTTAACGATATTTTAATTTCAAAAAAAAAAGGATGAATGATTGTTATCTCATAAAAGAGCAAATTTTACAGAATAAATGTATTAGTCTTGTGGATGGAAATACCGAATTACAGCATAATCTCTGGCAATGGTTATATCGTTCAACCGAAATAATCATCGATGTCGGTCACAAATTTTGTCCAGCAATATTTAATATTGGTAAAAAATGTGGGAAATTTTCATATTCAAGTCTTAATTTATGTATAAATGGCAGAGAAGTAAATTTGGATACATAATTTAATAATATAATAATGCTGTCATCATTACTTTTTGTTTTTAGCTTTTGTTGTCAGAAAAAAAGTGAAAGCAAAAAATGGTTATGACATTTTAATTAGCTGAGGTAAATCGAAAATTCAATCCATTGCAATTGGTTTTTTTTTTGCTGTAGTATTAAAACTAAACACTTTTAACAGATTTCTCATAATAATTATTTCAGCCATTTATTTTAGATTGTTCAATTTTTGCTCAGATGCCTCAGTCTTATTTAATGTTAAATTGAAATTATCTTAGCTTATTAGGCTTTTGGGAAAGTGAAAATTAAATATTAATAAATATTTCTACTCCTTATTACATGATATTTGTGATTGATTTCAATGATTTTTCGTATTTAATGAATTTATAGCTGCTAAAACGAAGAAGCCAACAGTTTCGATGAATGAGTATCAGTCGATATTAAGTTTATATAACAACAGGTAATTTTATTTATCAATTACTGAAAAATTTTTTCAATTTTGTCAAATGCATAAAAATGAATTAACAAATTTTTATAATTAATTTATGATTAATTTGCAGAATTTTAACCTTTACAAGTGCACAAAATGTGGCAAAAGTTTTCAATGCAACTGAGGAAAATGACAGAAAATGTGGCACTTTAACAAAAGCCATATATTTGAGATTTTGCGATGAAAATGCTGGCTATATTTCATTTGCTTTCACAAATTTTAGCAAGTAAACTATGCTAATCTCTTTCCAACGCATGCTATAGTTTTTATGTGCTCAATTAATTCATTTCTGTGCACAAGTATATAATTACATGATTCATTTCATAACTTGGAAAGTGATCTTTGAAGTAATGAGAGGGCAATAAATTATGCTAAAGATAATAGTTAAACTTAAAAGGAAGGAATGGATATATTTTTTTAAAAAAAAGTCCATGAAACTGGTTTTGAAATATTCTAAACTTCTCCAAAACGTCTTATTTGTTACTCAATTTAAAAATTATTAAACAAAAAAACATATAATTGCAAGATGAAAGAAAAAAGAAAAATATTTTGATAAACAGAGATAATAATGGTAAACCATTGATGGGATCGTTGTCAGCGGAACAGATCAAAGATTTCAAGCAAGGAATTGCTGAAATACTTATGGATGAATCATTCTTAAAGCGTTATGATCGTATTGTTCAACTTCAAATTTTTGATAATAAAAATCGTGGTGATAATTTAGTTATTGCTACTCCACTGTAAGTATTTTTGCTAATCTAATTTATAAGAAATTGAAATGTTTGATTTTTTTAGAGCTAAATTTTGAACACATTTTACGAATGGCTAATTATTTCATTTTTATTCCTTCATTTTTAGCAAATAAAAAAAATAAAAAAATATTTATTAGAAAAATTGTTGATTCAATAAATTTTTTGCTTTTTTGATCATTCACATTACATAACATTTCTTCTTTTTTCAGCAAAACAGCTATTTTCCAAGATTATAATACTATGCGACTGCAAAATAGTTGCGTGGAAACACGTGATAGCGAAACAATCCGCATCAATCCACTTACTGGTGAAAAGTTAGCTTATGCACAAAGTAACGTCAACAACGCTATCCATAATAATAACCAAAGTTCGGAACTGTCGAATCTTGTACAATGTAGGTAATAGCTATATCTAAAAGTTCGTTTAATTTTAGCCTACATTATTACTCTTCGAAATGACAATTTCTTTCTTGCAATGAATAATATTCGAGATTTTATTAATTTTATTTTCTTCTTCCTATCCATTCGATGAATTTAATATCTGTAGAGTCAATTTAATTTCTAGAAAAGATGAAACGGAAATTTCAATTGTACACATTATAGCATATGTAGAGTTATTATTACATGCTTCATCGTTATATACCGCATTTAATGGTACCTCAATCGGAGATTCAATTAGCGATAAGGAAAGCGATCAAAATCGAAATGTAACATCGGAGCAGAGAAGATTAGAAGATAACGATATCGGTAATGCTACTGTTGATAGGTAAATGGATTGTTATAACTTATGAAATTCTAAAGTAAATGGAAGTATTTGAATAATTGACTACAATTATTATTTCTTAAAAATCATTTTGTTTCCATAAAATTGAAATAAGAATTGTAAAATTGAAATGAGAAATATGATGAAATGATATTTTAGAGAAATACGAAGTGCGCCACGTTCACATACCAAGGAAGAGATTACGAGATTGAAATGTGACCCGAAGCGATTTTGTGATGGAAAATGGAGAAATGAGAATGATGAATTGGAAGCACTCGATCTAACACAAAAACGAACTAAACCGAATGAAAGCTAATAAATACTTAGCTGGAAGACCAATTCCATTTTTACTTTCAATGTATTAGATATTGGTAAGCAGAGAAAACGAATAATTTTAAAAAAAAAAAGTGTAAAATATGTAATTGAAAGAGAAAAAAGAGAGATTAAATCTGATAGATTGTTCCATTCATGTGAATAACCTATCAGATTTAAACTTTCTTATTATTCATTACTAAAAGTAACTTAATAATGTATCGGAAATTTTGTATTTGTGTCATTGTTCAGTAATTATGTATGTTTGCTAATTTATATCTAATTTTTTTTCACGAAAATTTCACTCTCTCTCTGTGGTAACATTTGAAAAATAAAATTTTCAAATGCTACTCCAACTACTTATATCGTAATTAGAGGGATAACATAAGTAAGGGATTGTTGGATAAAGTTAGCATAATGTAAGATATCCAATATTGCTTACTTAATTTTCCCATATTCTAATTTATTAATTGTATGGAAAATCTGGGATAAATAAAGGGAAGTGAAAATTGGATTGAGCTGTGAATAATGTTGTGTTGAAAAATAAAAATATTAGCAATCGTAACTTATGATTTGTTAGTAGATAAATTAATTTGAGACACTTAATTAATTAAATGAACTCATTTATCAATTAAAGCTTGATTTGTTGATGAATATCTTCAGCACAAATACTGTTTCTAAAAAAAAAAAAAAACACAATCCTAAATATTTGTTGATCATTTACGCTGTTAACCTGTGGAGAAAACATAAAAATTACCTATTACTTATATTATTTTCAATAAAAAGAAACTTGAAAATAAAAAATTGGCCAAAAATGCCAATTATATTGACATATTATTTGCATAGTGTTATACATGCAAACATATACTGCAGAATTATGATATGCAAATTATGGATGTAAAGCTGTCTGTGTTGTACCGCTTTTTTATTTATTGCATCATCCGTCACTACCACCATCAAAAACAACAATAATAATGTCGAGAAATGTAGAGAAATTTATTTGTTATCATAAAATTATTTTAGGAAATATATTTTATCATTTGTACCAATTGCGCGACTTGGAGGAATAATATTGTAAAGCAGTTGGAGAAGCATTACAGATAAAATGTTCTTCTTTTTCATCATATTTAATATACTACTAAATTTAGCATATTTGATTAATCTGTACCAATTTTGAAATTCAAATATTTGAAAAACTTAGCAAACAGTTAGCTGTACTGATTAATTCCTCTTTTCCGCCACTCGGCAAAATAGATAACTTAGAAGTAAGTAATCACAGAAAATTTCATCATATTATTGGGCGAAAAGGAAGCGAAAATTATCCGATGAGGAATTTAGAAATTGGGAGAAATTTTGATGAAAGTTTATTTGAAATACGAAATTATACACCTCCATCAAAATATCAAAACCGCAATTCCCATGCCGGGAATCGAACCCGGGCCGCGTGGGTGAAAGCCACGAATCCTAGCCACTAGACCACATGGGACTGACTTTAGTTAAATTGTCGTCTAATTAAAACGAATTTTTATAACTGACAAAAAAATGGAATTTATTTTTTAATTAATTATTCCCTCATACAAATAAATTCAACAAAGATAAGTGTTTAATAGATCATATGGCTCATTGATACAATAACTGATTGATTGATTGATTGGCTTATTTCATAATGAAAAGAGTTATTGTAAAAGGATAGACAGATGGATCACAAGAATTTATACCGTCAGTCTATTCAAAATTGTGTTTATTCGTTTTATTATTATTATTTTAAAAAAATTTATCAAAAATCATCAAAATTATAATTTTATTGAAATTAATGCATATTTATTTAAAAATAACCGTAACATTACCATAATTCTTAATTCATTTAATAAATTATAATTTAATAATCATTTAAAAAATTTTATCATTTTACCAGTCTATTACCACAAAAGATGCTATTTGCATTATCTGTAATGTATTTAGGATGAGACTTTTGGATATTTTAAATTTTAAACTATAAGTGGAGCTAAAAAATCTACGAGATAATACTCTCTTGACTATCCATATGTAACCGTTTGATCATTACTGTTTACCTCCAATCAAACAGAAGTCAATTAATTAGCTTAATCAATATAAACTATCGCTGATTCCGATCTAAACATTGAATTGAATTGTTTATTTTATTTCAGATTGAAAAAATTTTTCGAATATTACTTAAGAAATTTAAAACTACAAAGAATAATTGTCAAATTTTTACATATAATGATTAGCTATTTCCTAAAACAGTTTTTAACAAATAATGTTAATGAGGAAGAATTGTTACTAATCAATCTCACTGAACAATTACAAAAATACTTGTGTGTGACTGAATCAACTCATCGCTTGTATTTCTCTCAATCATATCGACATGAAGGTAATATTCAGAAAAAATGTGAACATGGTATTTCAATTCCCGATTTCATACTTTATCAATGCTTTTCGCATCTTTCTCTCATTTTCTCCTGACATCACTTTTCAATATCGAATTAATTAATTGTAATATGAAACCATAAATAATGGAATCAATCGTAAAAGTGAATCGCTCCTGTCGAGAATTGATTGCACAAAAATGAAAAGATAAAAAAAAAACGTGAGAAATCATTAATAATTGATGAAAGTTTCTCTTTTTAAAAGAAATAAAGTGAATGAATTGTAGAAAGTATGAAAAATACTGATACTCATTACATATAAATATAATCTTCACCGGGCATAAAATGAATGCACAAAAAAGTCCAAGAAAGTATAATATAAATCGTTGGCATCTAAGAAATTCATCCGCCAAGAAATAATTTGTACGAATTATGCAGCAATTCAGAATTTTAGAAATTACAATATACGTATTCCTATTGAATATGATTTCTATTTAAGCAATTCTCGGGAAAAACCTGTCCAAATAATTAAAAATATATAACCATCACAATAAAAAAATTCAACGTCTCATAAAAATCGGAAAAATAACTCATGATAATGCAAAATCATGGCGATTTTGATTAAAAAATACTTGAGTTAGAGCATTTTAAATTTCTAAATAAGCAAACTAGAAATCGAATAGATCAGAATTACCCCATCCCAGAAATTGACAAAGTTTTAACGGCTTTGACGGAGTTCAGCATACCAGGATCCCAGTTAAAGGCCATGAAATATATAACAAATACAATAAAGTAAGCAAGAGATATCTTCATAAAGATTCTGTCTGTGAAGTTTAAGTTAACCTCATTTGAAACAAAGTACATAAAAAGTAAAAAATCACAGAATATCACAATTTGGTCAAAATTAATTTTTGGAGAAAAGAGCTTCGCTGATTGATTCATCCTTTATATTAGCGCAACATGGTATGGCTTGCAAGTTCTTGATGAAGAACGCATATTCTTGGCTCACCAATCTGAAATTTCCTGGCAAATCCCAATGTTAATTCGATGTCTGGAATCTTTATCATAAATTTTAAAAATTTTTAATCGGAAAATTTTAAAAGAGCTTCTACTTCAAGCTATACTGTGCATATAGAAATTTGAATATGAAATAAAATTTAAGAAATAGTGTTTACATCTTTTTTCTTCTCTCCTTATCTTAAATTTTTATTGATCTTTCCTACGTTTCAGTTCCTTTCTAGTTTTAACTGATTTCTTTGTTCTTTTTTTAACCAGATTATTCATTCTTGGTAATAAAAATATCTTACCCATATGTGAGTGAATCGTGTGGAGTAATATTCATTACAGTTAAATGAGCTTTTAGATTATCCTTAAAATTCTTGTGAACCCGTAAAAACAAGCCCTGAAAGTGAAAAATGAAATCCCTGTAACAATAGGAAAAAATTTTTAATTTCAATTCCGAGGCAGGATACACTACTTCAATCATAATTTCTGGCATAATTCCGGTAAGGCCATTGTAGAATTTTCCAAGCTGTCGACACATTTGCTGGAATGCTGGCGATGGTATGGAGCCTTTTACATTCCACTGCAACAAAAATATATCAGGTTATTTATCAAAATTTAAAAAACGAACATAAAGGATTCTGGAAGAAATATAGAGCAAAAGTATGGTAATAGCAACCGGTACACTATCCAGCAGAGGAAGCTTAATTTTTTTTAGATAGAAAAAATCTAATTATTCCGTTAGCTGAAAAAACTGTGAATATATAATACTAAAAAAACTACACTTTATACTCCGTGTATTATATAATCTTACCGCTTGAAGTTGTACAATAAGATGGTGGTCGATGACGGTAATCAGTTTGTTCACAATTTCTTGCACATGATCATTGTAATCCTGAAAAATGAAGTGCACAACGTTGTCATCACTCAGATGCTTTTGGAAGTAAATATCATTTCGTATATAAACTGATCTTAAAGTACACAAGAATACATAAGTACGAGCAAAAAAAAAACAACTAAAATGCTCATATCCAACAAATGAAGTAACAGTACAGTTTTATGAATTTCTCTCGAAGATTGGAATAAAGCCGTATCTAGTGGTAATGTAACAAAAGTTTAGTCAAAAAATTAAGTGTGGACTTACCCTAACTAACTGGTCGATATGTCGCAGTAAAGGCTGTTTGTCAGCAGGAAGTTTTTCTTGAAACGTGGTTCGAATAAATGGGACAAATCGAAGAATTAATTGCAGACTTCTCGAGGAAAGAGCTATAAAATTGAGTAAATAATATAAAAAGATATTTTTTTTAATGGAAAGAAAAAGAGTATTAAATTCAAAAACTATAAGCATTCTCTATCATAAATGCATCAAACATCCTCTACCATAAATGCATATTCATATAGATCAAAAATTCTCTCAATATATCAATAAATCAATTGTTTGATCATAAAATGAGACGCCGAAATGTATACAAAGAATGATGTAACTTTCCGCATAACTTACCTAAATGTCGGACACTTATCGATTTGAGGCCAATCAACTGTAAAGCGCCTGCTCCAAGAATCAACTGGCAACTACGACTATTGTAATTTTTCAACAACTCTACTAAACACATCAATAGTTCGGAAGCATATTCTGGAAGTACAACTAAAGCATCACAGTATTGTGCCATTATCTGCAGTAGAATAAAGGCTGTTCTGAAAATGGAAATAACTTAAGGAGCTTTATTAAAAAGAAAAGTTTAAAAAATTTAAAAAAAAAATGATTTTGACAAAACCAAACTGAAAAATCTGAGAAATCTCAAGTTTCCCTTTCCATCTTCAAAAGTTAAAGTGCTACGAATTACAAATTCAAATTTTATCTTCTAAGGAATTCTTTGATTCAAAATGAATTAACAAACTGAAAATTAGAATTAAAAAAATTTACCCTACAGCAACATATGGTTCCCCATCGACCAGTAAGTTAGGTTTAAATTCGTCGGAATTTTCAATTTCTAAGGACCCTATATCAGATAAACAATTTGTTCGCAAACACAAATCAGCAAGTCGTTGAAAGTGCTCCGGTACATCGCCGGCACGCCAAGTTTCCGTATCCAGAATATTACTGCAAAAAATAAACTGCTCACGTTTTATCTGCTAAAGAAGGATTCTTTATCTGCTAAAGAAGGATTCTAAAAGAAAGAGCCTTCCAATCTCCCCAAAAAGCTAAAAATATTTACAGATAAGGTCAGGAACTCGATCGTTTGAAAAAAAAAGATATAAATATCTGCAAGCTATTTTCTACTTGTTTGTATTTATTTATCGATGAAATGAAACATACCTTAGTTTGGTTTTTCGATCTTCGTGAAACTTCTTAATAAAACTACTGCCTTGCTGAAGAACACACAAGCGCAAAGGTGAAGAGAATTTCTTTTCGCTTCCAATTAACGTTTGGCAATTACAGACAAATTCTTTTACAGCACGCATTACACTGTCAAACTCGGACAATGACAATCTTTCAAGGAAGCCATCCTGAATTACTATCCAGAAACTCTTATCTCTTTTAGCCATGTCTCCAACTCTTCACTCATTTCATCAAAAAAATTTGAAAATTCGATATTCTAAGGTAAAATCAATTGAAAATTCATTACATACTTTCGATCTAGCAGCTATTAGACGAGAACTGCGTTCCTGAGCCGTATATGTTGTATGTTCAGTAAGGAAAGCTATTGACAGTTTTACCTTCAAAGAAAAACTATTGGCTCAAAGTTTGATAAAATTTCTAAAATCTTTTCTGGAAGTAGGGATATAGTTTTAAGAAATATTTTTACTGAAATTTTCAATTCGAAAATTAAACCTTTTGGAAAGTTAACAGAATCAAACATTCAAAAAAAAATGAGTTTAAAAGAAATTTTGAAAATTTACCGAAAGGTATCATTAAAAGACAGAGTGAATTAAGGGATAATACTAGAATACCGTAGAGTTGCAAACTCAAATAGAAATCACCTGACTGATCATTCTGCATGGTACTGACAAAAAAGAAGAAGGTGTTGCGGCTGTTGATATGGTCATTACCATATCGGAAATAATATTTCCTACTTGGGAAGCCATTTCTACTTTACTAAAGTTAGCATTTTGTTGATTTTCAACATTTTCTATAGCTTTTTCTTCATTCGATGATGGGATTGGAATATTTTTCATTTCTAGTGAACTTTTTCTCAATACACGTTTGATTTCTACTTCCAATTCATCATCTGTATCCAATTTTGCAATATCTTCATCAGCATTTGTTGCCTGTATTGGAACTGATATATTATTAACTGCAGACGTGAATTTATCTGGATCCATAGATTCCTGGATAGGATCGATCCTAAATCGTGACGACTATATAATTCGGAATTACAACAGTTATTATATATCAAACTCCAGGCTAAGGGCTTCCTTGAACCAATACTTTCACAGGAAAAAAAAAATGAATATCCAAGAAACAGAAACCACTAAAAAATTCTACAATTTTTCGAATGCTCGAATCGTTTTGAATGCCATTAGAGGTTTTGAAAATTGAAGAATCATTAGGAAAATGCTAAATCTAGTATACTTGTGCGAACTTTGAATTCAGTAAGATATAATGCATATATTTAAATTGGTTTTTAAAGATTAGATTTAAATTTTAGTATAATTTCACGAAAAACTGACTCTTCGGTAATTTCCTGATCTGGCATAGGTCTTCTAGCAATAATTTCCGAAAAATGATTAATGTTATCCAGGATAACTTCCTGAATATTCTGTACCCTGCAGCACATCAAATAAAGTACACGTAAAACATGCTGCAATGTCGCGAACCACTGATCGAAATTCAACCTTCGCATCTGAGTGCTCAAATTACCAAGTGATGGATCGAACTCTGCTAATTCCTGATCACCCATATTCTGTACCACATGTGTTTTTATTATCTACAAAAACAATAATTTTTATCAAAGAATGAACAAATGCCTATCTAACTGCCTCTTAAAATAGAATCTATGGAAATATGACAAGTATCAATTATTCCAACTAACAAACCTGTCTTAGCGAATTTTTCAAAGCTACAACTATTTCTTGTTGTAATACATGAACAAAACGATATTCCTTCACTTGCAATAAACCAATTACAATCGGATTCATGTGTTCCTTTAAAAAAATAGCACCAGTAAGCCGACAATGACATAAAAAGCTTATATGGTGGAATCGTAGCATTTCCGCTTCTATCAATGCCGCTTTTCTTAATTGAATCTGCATTCCGCTTTTTCAAACAAAGATTCATCGGAAAGTTGCTGTCTTACAAACTTACCCTTCCATTCTCTCCTTATTTCCATAACTGCATCTATATCTATTCCAATTTATTATTAAAATTAGAATTAATACCAAAAAACAAACTCCCTGATAAGCAGCATCATTCTCAGTTTCACATGGTCGTCCCATTTCCTTTTGTATCAAAGTTACAAATTCTTTATAAAGTATTTTTGCGATTACTTTACGCAGCTCTTGTAACTGGGAATCGAGATGCCTGTAATGACAAGATAATCGATACAGCCTAAATTTCAATAAATTCTGTTATCAAATTTTATAAATTCTCCAAATTAGGTATTCTAAACTAGTACTCTAAACAACAGATAATCTGACTAATCTGATCTGAGAATGCTTCTCTTTAAAATGAATATATAAATAAATAGTAACTTCCGGAATGTTAACCTGAAGCATGTAACACCTCGTAATTCGTTGTTCAAAACATCTTGCGCCGTTTCGATACATTCTAGAGCTTTTGGATAGTCATTTTGATTTAATAGCATTTGAACGGTTAGCTGAGCATCTCGAAGGCATGCCATGTCCTGTATAATAGGCTAAGATCACTGTTAAAAGCTTAAGAAATATAAAAAATTCATGCAGAACTTCCCATAATTTCGAATAGTGTGAAATACTGAAATTATACAGTGCTACTGAAAGCATTCATTAGGATCAGAAGAACCGAATAGTAAGTCTCTGTTTTGTAGAAGAACTAAAGAAGTATATGAAGCAAATAACTATTCATGTAAAAGCTATTCGAAAGAGAAATATGATGCAATCATCAAACTTTTAAATAATTTTCGCAATTGATTTAATTAATGAAAGAAATAAAGATATTCCCAAGCTTTTCAGAAGAGGACGGAGATTACAAGAGCATTTTAGAACTGAGAAAATTCACAATAAGATGAAAAAGTAAAGCTAGCTTATTGCCACACGCTTTCAGAGCTTCATCAAAGAGAATAGTGTTTTATGATAGTGCATGTGTTATTAATACCGACTATAACTTTGTAAATTTTTATCTATTTTGAGAATAGATGATAGGAAAACTAACTCGTAATTTCTGCAATACTTTCTCCTGTTGTTGCCGTATTTTATACATACTTACAATATTTGTCATTCGGTGGTACAACTTTTCATCCACTTTCTTCAAATTTTGCCTAAAAAACCTTAGAACATTACTTTAATTAAAAGTTATCAGTTGTTGTTACTAGCAATGATAACTATGTGACGAAAGTTTTTAAATAAAGCTGAGTAATTTTCATATTTGCGTAAGATATTGCAAGGTATGGAAGAAGTTTTCAATAATAAAATAAAAAAGAAAGCACTATTATATCATTATAGAAAATGGAATCCATTGAAAATTTGAATAGATCAGTACCATGGATTAAAATTTCATACTGAAAATATTTTAAAAAAGTAAGGAGAATTTCTATTTACTTTATCCATAACGAAAAAGATAACCTTACTATAGCAACCCTTTCCATAGCATCTGCCAATTCACCACTTATACTTCCACATGAGATAACTGTTTTCCAAAATGTATTGGATTTCAGTGCCAATTGATTGTTCAACCTCGCATCAACCAAATCATGATAATATTCAAGGCATTTTTGCAGTGTATTATATGGCCTAAAATAACGGCCATTTGCTGCCTCGTATGATTCATGCATCTGAAAAGTGATCAGATTTGCAACAAAAGAATGGTAACCAGAAACAGTGACAGAGTATACCCTCCTTGATGTATGGAAACAATTTAAATTTTATCACTTATCACAATGATGACAAACTGAAAGTAAGAATTTGCACAAACTGAAAGTAAGAATTTGCACTCGATAAATATTGTAATAAAAAACTTAGGTGGAACACTACTGATTTGAAAGAAATATTGTTTCAAATATCCATTTAAAAGTAGTCATCCACCTGTAACGACTTGGAATCTTCCGAGATACTTGACGTAGGTGATGTACCACTAGTGCAAGATTGTTGTGCCAGATATGTTGTATATGGCTTACCATCAACTTGTAAACGATCAACTTCTCCGGGAACAGGTTCCAGAAAAACTGCTTCGAAAGTGGATAAATCAGCCAGTGAAAAGTGCGGATCCAGGAGAATCTTCAACATCAGTGATGAAATAGATAATCATATTGGTAACTATTTTATTTATAATAAAACATACTCTATAACTTGACAACTCACATTTTGGAGATGCATATCAAATTTGGAGAATATATGCTGATATTAGTGTTTAATTTCATACATACCGAGATGATTTATTAGTAAGTAGCAAAATATTGGCCTAAAAACATATTCGATCTAAAACAGAAACATAAAAATATTCAGACATGGCAGAATCACAAACCACTGGTACATCATCAACATCGATACGTGTATCATTCTCATGTCGTGCTAATGCACGCTGAAGTTCATATTTCGCTTTTAAACACTGACGGTGTTTCTGAAAAAAAAGATTAATGTAAAATTCAATTAAGTGTGGAAATTCTAGAAAACAATAACAATGTTAACTGTTAATAATGCAATAACATCATCACAATAGTTATGGCAAAAAATGTAATCCCAACTATGATAACAAACCTTAGCAGTGGTCTTAAGATACTTCTTGAAATGATCTAGTGATATAACAGGCAAGGACAATGCCGGTGACACCCGATTTTTGGGCACAAACGAATCGCCCCAGTGCCTGGTGAAAAAGGCTTGTACTTCTGTTCGAGAACATTTTGGATCCAACAGTACTGATGAGAGATTCTGAGTGAAACTGAAATATAGTAAGATAACGAATGTTACTGCTTCATCCCCCAAATTCTCTTTAAATTTAGTGATTATTTTAGGCAGATGATAGAAATTTTAGCATAGAATGTGCTTACCAGAGATATACCGCCGAACATATAGGTTGATTAAAATACTAAATTATCAATAATGATCAACATTGTACTTATATTTCGAAGTGCCGACCAATTTCTTGTCATTACTCTTTAATAATTTCGACACAAACTACTCTTTTATATTCATAAATTCGCAAAAAATATAAACATTTTCTGTTCCATGAATTGTTTGCAATCAAATGCTTACACTTGTTCAACTGATCTTATAGAAATTTTCAACTAAAGTTTCAGAAAAAAAGTTACGAGTAACTAAAAACTTGCGGATATGATTCCCTTCTCCTCCTCTTCTCTACACAGTTCTGTAACTTTGTTTTTAATTTAAAATTATTCAAAAAAAAACTAATCCTGCATTCTAAAACAGTATTCCTTCGTGACCTTTACAGCTAGGAATGTTAAATTTCCTGTACTCTATCCCCAATGATAAATTTTCTTCTCGACATTCAATTATAAAAGTTCCTAACAATGAACAAAAAAACAGTTCAATAAGTGAGCAGATAAGTTTCTCAAACTGAATACCTCTAGGATATGATTAACATAAGCTCAGTTACTAGTTAAAATATGCAAAAATAACTTTCCGGGAAGCGGAACGAAAACAATGACCTATAAGAAAGTATAATTTCTAATCCGAACAGATGTTTTGATTGTTAAATTATTTATAAAATATTTTTCTCCCTTCACTGCTCTAGGTCTCCTTCCTTCCACCATACCATTTCAAATTTTGTTTTTAGAACAAATAAAGAAAAAGGACTCTCCAGCAAGTAGAACGGATATTGATAAATTAAAATCTCTAGTTATTTGTTCCTTTTATTTCAATTTCTAATGTTTCAAATATAGAATTATTACCACGTGCATGCCATTGTCGAGAAATCTGAGAAACCGTAGTGATGAAGCAAAAACTGCACCTCTATGATTTTATTAAGACAGAGCAATCTCCATCCACAATATAGTCTTTTTTAGTATCATTACAATTCAGTTAAAGTTGAATTTATTAAAAATAAAAAACCATACATAAAAAGAATAACCAAAAGTGCAAAAAGTTTCTTTTTTAGTATTATTTCTTTGCATACCATACAAACAATCTTTTCGATTTCCGCTTTTTATTTTAAAAAATTGAGTATTGTTGTCCTGACAATAAAAAAATAAATTGCTCATCAATGCTGTTCTAATTCTTCCAAATAAACGATGAAAAGCTGTTCTAATTCTTCCAAAATTTCATTTTACAACATATTTTCAAATATTTAATGAATACCACTCATTATAACGTTACCTTAGCAATTTTTAAATCTTTCTGATGTTCTCAATGTGACCTTAGATAAAATCCAATTGGAAACATTACGAAATTATCGACTAGTTACAAAATCAATCGAGTATTCCGCAATATTTCCAGACAAACCGAAATTTTAAACTGATATATTCTTTTACTTCTGGAACGTATTGTATCCATTTATTTTACCATATTGAGATTAAAATTAAACTAAAGCTATTTCTTATTCTCACAGTTATTGTCATTGTCATTCATTATCATATTTAAAGCAATTAAATAAAATTTATAAATTTATTTCATCCTCATCTTCCTTGATTTATTATTATTCTTATCTCCAATTATGCATATTTATACTTCAAAATCCCTCGAAAAATCATCGTATTAAAGCAGTTTTTATGAAAAAACGAAAGTCTAATTAGGTTAAACGAATCACTTTTTATATTTTTTGTTATAGTTCTCTGTCATCAGTGCTATAGTTTTCGCGACTTGTCATAAAGAAAGACCACAGATAATTCGTATTTCTCTTGAAGAAAAAGGATTTTTCAAGTTCATACTGAAATAGTCAGTATATGAGAGTGTAGAATACAGGTATTAATAGTGACGATATGTCTTTTATTTCCTTCATTCATTTCCAACTCTCTCTCTTCCTCTTTAGTTAAATTTTAGGGAAAAAATGAGGTAGTATCTTATTTAGTTCTAAAATTTAAAAAGCAATCTGCGTAATAGCATACCAAAATCGCCGATTAAAAACAATGAAAATATGATAGGTTAGGAAAATAAGTGATAATAGATTGTTTGCTACTAGCTTTAATAATTGTTTATTTTTCAAGAGACTATACGTATATATAATATAATGTGAAACGGATATCAATTTAAAAAAAAAAAAAACTTGAGGTTAATTCCAAATTTACTACGAAATCTGAAAACTAGAATGTATATAAAGAATATCAAACATGGAGAAAAAACATTATCTGTTTGTGCCAAAATTATCAAATCAGAATAGAAATAAACAGCAAGCAACACATCCATGACTTATATTTATCATCAATCCAGAACACAAAATACTGATAAACGTCACACTCCCGAAATCTATTTTCTACAAAATCTACAACGTTCACATTTTAGACTATCGTTAAGTAATAGATTCCCATTCCGGTTATATTAATATCAGATAATCTTGCTTTTTGTTCTTTAGATGATCGAAGTTCAGATCTAAACATGGAAATCCCACAGTTCACCTGCTATTATCAACAATCTGCAATGATCCAAAATGGCGGCTCTCCGTTGAAAGAATCAAAAACCGTACAAACTCAAACGTTTTCAACATCCAAAATAACAACAGCTATTCAGCTGAAGTCACGAATACAACGAGAAAACTTACAAAGACAAATTAATTTCGATTTTAAATCACTGAAACTAAACAATCCGATAATTTCTGTTCGAAGTCGACTTTTAAACGATGAAGATAATGATCATAACGAGGCAGAGAATCGGCATTTGAGTGATATCGAACTTCTCCGACGAGTATACGATGAATTACGACATAAGATAAGTCAAGCGTAAGTTTGAATAAGAAAAATCTAAGTCAAAATGTTTGGCTTATTCATATAATATTAACTTGTACGAATGAAATGAATGCCTTAATAATGTAATCCCAAGTACGCTTCATAGAATTCTTGTAGAATCTAAAAAATTTGTATTTAATCAATAAATCTACTCTCAAACATCTGTGGAATCCTAACATTCCTTTTAAAACAATCGATTTTTTGATAACTTCTATACTTAGAGATCTCTTTATTAGTTCACAGGATGAAAAAATAGCAAAACTGAAGATAAACAAAGAGATAAGCTGGAAAGAATGCTTTCTTGGTGAACGAATGCGAAGATGGAGTCTTTGGTTCATTATCACCTTCTTGGCTGCAATGACTATTCGAGATATTACTCTGCTGGTACCAACTTTAACTATATTTCCGGAAGATACCGAATTACCAAAGAATATCTCACTTTCTCAAGAGTTTTATACCTGCATTTTCTGTAATACCTTATCCAAATTGTCCTATTAACAAAATGACTCATATTAACAATTTTCGAGTATAAAAAAGGTAAGAGATGATGACTGTGATTCATAAAGAACAGAAAACTTGAATAAATCCAAATATTTAGGTGATAGAATACCTGGAATATCCGAAACAGTCGGATATGAATATAATGTTCAATGAATCAATGTACATGCCAAATATTACATTTTGCATGTCGAGACAACAGGCTTGGAGCTATCTTCCTCTCAACAATTCAGAATTGGCCGATGAATGGGACAGAAGAGTAAAGGTGAGGAAAAGGGAAATAAGGAGTGGAATTAAATAGTTAGGGGTTGAACAAACGAATTATTTTCAGAAAAAATGTTTCATGATATTTCAAATTAACTTGCCAAAAACATTTTTTAAAAATTATATCCCACTTTCAGGATTTCTACTCAAGTTTTTAAAGAATTTAAAAATAAATTACTTTCCATTCAAGTTGATGATGTTTTCAGTTATCAAGCAAACTTTCACACAAACTTATGATTATGCATAATATTCAGGGAGAACTCGAAAAACTGAATTCTCGAAAGAAATTTCTGCATGAAGTCTGGGACTATCGGCTAATTGCTGAAGCATATGAGGTAATCGCAACACTGAACAGTATGGAGCGAGAAACAACAGCAAAAGGATCCGCTCGATCCATCAATTTTTTTCGTACTCAACCACGACTTCGAGCTAAACGAGCAATGGTTAAGGTTAACTAAAATTGATATCTGCAGTCAGTCAATGCTTGTTTACTGCTTAATTTGATGTAGTATTAAGCTTAGTTTAAAGTATTAATCTCACTTTTCAAAATCCAAATCAACAACGTGAATTTATATTTTAGAAAGATAAAATAGATATTTAGAAATATCTAAAATGTTTGGTGTCAAGAAACTCTTTTTACTAGATAAAAAAAATCGGCTGAAGTGTTCATTAAATTTGAGCCAGTCCTTATATGGTTAAGAAATGACAAATGATTGTAGCCAAAAGAATCTCATATGAAAAACATACCACAAGGAAAACATAACACTATTTGTAGGCCTGGTTAAATGAAATTCAGCATCGTGACGTAACATTCGAAGAATTGACTCAAAAAGTTGGCTTGGAAACTATTAAATATTCAATACGACGATTCCAACGAACAACATTTAATGAAAGCATGAAAATTAAAACCAGATTTAGAACCTCTTGGATTTCAACAATGCAGTTTTGTTTTCAACCATGGTTTGACGCTGACAATTACTTAGAAATAAGAGACCAGGTACAAGCTGGAATTTGCTACCATTCTTCCCTCCTTTCCATTTCTCACGATTAATACAAAGATAATGTATTAATGATAATAGAAATTGAGCAACATTACAAAATCTAGATTAAAACTTAATTGTGAGAAATTCTTCAATCCAAGCAAATCCTGTAAGAAAATCCAACTTAACGACAGCAATAATAAGAAAATTAAGGATGGAGTAAAATTGATGCCTTAAAATATCATTATGATAAGGATTAGACTAAACTTCGTTGTGTGATAATAACATTTATCGATAACAGTATTGAGTATTCATCGCATAATATGCAGTAATGTAATCATTATGTATGCTTGAAAAAACTATGGTATTTTATATAACTGTGAGGAAAATTTTTAATTTTCGGATCTGAAATAAACTTTAGGTGAAAACATAATTCAAATCAAATTATTTCTGTCACTTTATATATTCTTAGGGAAATTTCTTTACGATGCTGTTATCACATAATGCTGATAATTTGGAAGGCCTTAATATCGCCTGCATGTCTGTTGATTTTCACGGACGACCCAGTTCATTATCACGATTCATGGAGGGTCAAGGTCGAGCGAGAGACGGGTTTAATGATGATGTATTCTTTAAATTTTTGTAGATCGAAGAGTTATTCTACCCTTTATATCCTTTTGATTATGAAGTATTATCACATTTACTACTTCCCCTTAATATCTTAGATATACAATCAAGAAAATATATTTATTCGTCTAGGGACAAATTCCATAAATTAATTAGATCAAAAAAAAGAAGCTGATTTTAAGTTGTGCCTTGGTATCCGGCATGAAGTGACAGTGGACGTACGCGCAAGATATGTGATGCTTGAAAATGACGACAATGGCACGGCATGTCGTAAGGCTATCAAACAAGAAAATGAATTCGATTGTCGGTCCAGATGCCGCATGGAAATGATCAGAGTAAACTTAATTTTTTAACATTAGTTAAATAGTAAAAGTGGTTTTTTCAACTAAAAATAAAGTTTCATTGTTATTTTTGGGTTAAAATTTTGCTTAAATCTGATCTCAGTTGACAAATCAATTCTGTCATCTTATAATGCCAGCTTTACTGAAATAAGACAACAATATAAATAGGCAACAGTGTTTACTTGTTTTAAAAAATACCTCGAGTGCAATTTATTGCGATTTATAGTAATAAAATAAAACGATATTTTTCAGGACATGTGCAAATGTACGCCACCCACTTTGAGTTACCTTGTAAAAAATAAAAACGAATACAATGAATTTCCAATTTGTGATTATGAAAAATGTATAATCGAGTGAGCATTACCAAAAGTATCAGCAAAAATTGTAAGATTCTCAAAGATCAATGTGAGGATTTTTAAATGTACCTGATCCTGACAATCTCCATGCTGATAACTTATGGAACATAATCTTACTTTAATGTGTTGGAATTCCTTTTGGTATTATTCACTGAAGTATTTTCAGTATTAGGAATAATACATACTCGGACCAGCAATGCACCCGAAAGTGTTATCGTTCCTGTGATCAAATCACCTATGAAGTAAGTCACGTACAACATGGCAAAACGTTTCATCGTGGTAAGTTTTCGCTCAGAAAAAAAAATAATAAAGAAAACAAAATGGGTTGAAACATTTTTAGTAAAAATTGAATTCTGTATTCCATCTAGCACAGGAACAAATTAAAAGTTTTTTAAACGTAATAAGAAATTTAAGAGTCACATATACTACTATAACTTGCTTCCAGGCTTCACAATAATTAATTTAAACTGGGGTTCATTTGAATATCTTACTCTGAGTCAATATTGGGTATGGTCAATGCCAACATTTATAGCAGCACTTGGTGGATCTATGGGAGCATGGCTTGGACTTTCAATTCTTAGTCTAATACAGGTAAATCTGCTAATTACTAAATCTAATTCAAAATTCCAAAATTTTATTCGATAAGTCCCTTGTATCTCATTTAGGGTAGCACATATCTATACACCTTCTTAACCGCAACAATCAAAAAAAAGCGCTTGCGACTGAAAAATTGGAGCCGGAGGAACCCACCAACTTCATCCACCGATGAAATCGTTACATGCTACAGAAAAAAGAATGAGCAAGTCTAGAAACGTTCTTACAAACAAAAGTCTTGGAAATATATAAACCAATTAGTATCTGTTAATTAACTGCAACTTACTTGTATTTTTCACTTTTAATTCATTTAAGAAAATTGAAATGCCAGAAACTGCTAACAAGATAGTCTGGAAATTATTGGTTGAATACACGCTTTTCAGAAAAAACTCATAGTAAATATATCAAATTATTTATCTAATGTCAATTTGAATCAATCGTAGTTTTTCACCCTTGATTATAAGAGTCTCTAAAAGTAATCTCGAGAAAACGAAAACTTCCCGGAACATATTTTACCCTCAGTTCACCAGTACCCAATTGCTGCCACTTATACATCAACAAATATCTAAGCTAGCTTAGAAACCCCGGTAATACTTATTTTTTCCGCAAAAATTTCCCAGAAATGGATGAGAAAGATAAATTATTACTTGATTAAGGTATAAAAGTCTCGTTCCTCTTAATATTTATATTCAAATTTTCAGTGCATCGTTATATCCTTGAACAAGTGAAAAGTATTTTTAACAGTGATTCAATTAATTCATTCGAACTTAAAAAGATGAGAATGTTTTGTTTTCTGCCTACTTCACTTTTTATTTAGCACATTTCCATATTTATTCGCCAAATTTGTTATTACTTATCCTAAATGAAAAATATTTGTATGTAATTTATAAGACCCGTGTTATCTACACGGTAAAAGTATTCTTTTTTCACAACTGTTATCCGGATTTCTACAAGTCTTTTTATATGGTTATATCGTGTCATATAGCCTACCTTTGAATGGTGAACGCTGAATTGGAGGAAGAATGCTTTTTTTTTCCTTCCGCCTTATCCACAGCTGACTGTTTATCAAAAACTAAAAGAGAAAAATAAATGAAAAACATGCTATTAATATATTAAATTATGCTCATGTCTTTTAATATTTGATATTTTGATAAATACTATCTTCAATTAAATCACAGAAAAGACTTTATAATTACCTGGGACATACTACGCAGCTTCAATATTTTAAAATGCGTAAATTCCTTGATTAAATAATAAACGGCAAAACTAATACTAAAGCCTGAATTAATTTAAATAGTATAACCAATTTTTAAACAAGTTTTGACGCGTCCCATTAATGACTTTTGACTGATAAAAAATTTATAATGAAATCACTCACTAAAATTGGCATGACATTTCCGGATATGAACTTCGTAATCGTGATCAGAAACACCTTCTAAAGGTAATGTTTGACAAACTCTATTTGGCCCATAACTGAAAGCATATCATTTGATCTAACTACAGCATTAAAGCTAGACAATTTCGATCAAATTCAATATTAAACAGATAAAGGATAAGATGGTATAATTCAACAACTGTAATTTCCAGCTTTTCTATGGATGATCATATCTTATTGACTCGGCACACGCGGTCAGAGTAATATCTAGAAATTCACAGAATTGAATATCCGGATATTTATAATTGTTTTCGGAAGAGATAAAAATGAGAACACGTACCGACATATAAACGATCCACCTTCCTTTGTGCAATGCATAGCCCGCAGATGTTGAGCAAATTCGAAACGATTAGAAAATTTTCTCACATCTCGAGTGCATAAATCGCAGCAACGTGGATATTCAACATTACTTCCGTAACTGTCACCTCCATAATTGCCACCTGCTACTTGGGTTGATGATATTGGAAACATTTTGCACATCAATTCGGGTTCGGTGTAATTTTTCACGTTGTTCAATTTTCATTAAATTCCTAGAATACTTGTTAAACTTGTTAATTAAATATTGCGTTACATTTTTTGGTGGAATATTATTCCATTAAACATTAACAAATATCAATATAAATGAATTCCTACATTACAATTATCTCTATCTAATCTCTAAATTTCGATAATTTATTGTTAATAAACAAATTCTTGAAATTTCATTACCATTCATTTTTGATTTCTAATTATTCCTCTTCTCCATACTAAATCTAAAAAGTACCTGTTCTTGAAATACTCATATAAGACTTAATGATAAATGCAGTCTAACTCAGCAATGAATATCATTTCTAAATCCTGAAGTTGAACTGCCTTATCAAATGAAATAATCCTAAAAAGTTAACAACAAAAAATGGAAACAAATAAATACAAAGTGTACAACGAGTAACGAAACAGTTACAATAGAAAATTATGAAGTGGTTTGTGAGCGCCGAATCTTACGGAGTAATTAATTGCGGGAAGTAATTAGCCCGAGGGAGGTTAATTGCTGAGCTAATTAGTTGACTGATAGCACAATATGATACTTTCCTGAATACAAAAATTTCTATCGTTCCAGCATAAGATAATAAATGTGTTTGCTATGTTATTCAATTCTTGCATTTAAACCCGTTAAGTATCAATCGATATGGATTGACCTGATATTGATATCAAAAAATGTTGTTAAATTAACAAGAAAAAAAAATGTGAGGTTGTCATTTCTCTAAACCAAATTGCATGATGATAGCCATCTTGATCGGATCGTTTATAATGGTAGGCCGTTGACATAGCAACCGCTCAAAATCTTAAAAAATTAATAATAAAAAAATAAACCGTTAAATTAGTGGCAATTTCTTTTTTAACCTTTTTCCATTGCAATCGGTCTTTTTTACATACTCATAGAAAACTTTGACGATGATAAGTTCTGTTCAGTATTGAGACAAAAATCATCATTACAGGATAGTCAAAGTTACGACTCGAGATTTGATTGACATCAGATTAGCCTGTGTAAATGTGTTCTTGATTCGAATTGTGATAAATGTGTTTTAGATCCGAACGATAACTCTCAGCAGTGTTATCTGCATTCGAAACTTTTATAAAAGTACACATACGATTAATTTCCACATGCTTATTGAACATAGACCTGGAATGACAGGAAATTTGTCATACTGTCAGATACAATAGCACTTTACCTACTCATTTTCCTTACACATTCTTTAGTGAAGGCGACAATTTACTGTTAATAATATAACTTAATTCACGGTGAACTGTCGCAAAAAATTTCTGCACTTTATTTCCAAGTGTTTATAATTGCGAGCATCGAATGTATTTGTTTCATCATTATCATTTTAGGTGTATCAAAACGGAATTCTTTTAAACAGATATCAGGTTTTTAAATTTATATTTGTATACCAAATTGCAGTTCTGAAGGTTTAGACAATCTTATGCAGAAAGTAATTTCTGTAGTTCATACATCCTTTGCTTTCTCAGTAAAACATGTATATATTTCACGCCAAACGACGTTTGTTTTTTTTTTTGATTTTGTTGGCAGTTAAATAGTCGAAATTTGGTTTCTATTAAGATACCGCCTAAAATATGAGCCTCATTTTACACTCCAATTTGCTGTAGGAAATTTTTTCGAAATTTTTTTCGTAAATTTATAAGCAATTAGAAGTGAAATAAACGACTGAGTGAAGAATTCAGCCCCACTTGAATACTCAATTTATCGGGATTCCCGCAATATTTGTGAGAAAAAATATTTTTTTTTGACTTGTGTTGAAAGATTTACCATTTCCAAAGACCGACAACATTTGATGGGAAAAGTCGCCGAAGTACAGTCAGAAAAGCGGTGTGGTCTTACGAATGAAACAAAAATTCGCATCGATTCGTCGGATTATGCTATCATTTTGAATGATAGAATGTTAAATAGAAAAAAGATAAATGTGTGCTTAATTGTATCATAATTTGAAATTGTGTGATACTGTTTGCTAATAGAATTTTGGAAATTTCCGGGATTCGTTCCTCTTCACTTCAGCCACTCAAAGAAGTTTAGTTCGAGACAATCACATCACTTCGCGATTCTCAGTCAAAGTTTTTGGTCATCAACCACAAACTTACGATTAGCGCCGCTTTATTATTCTCGAAAAGTCGTTTATTTACTCATAAATGCAAATCACATTGGTAATCGTAATGTTTTCCAAATTCCTTTCCGTGGTTTATTCGAGTCAGTGCCACATACCTCCCACTGATTCCACAAAATACTTCGATTTCTTCCAGGAGAGTTACGGCATTATTGGACACGACAAATCAAAATGGAATCGCAATGAAGAATTATTGCTATACTGTCGAGACCTCTGCTCCCAACCACGTACAGGCGTG